CGCGCACTGGACACACAGAAAGACGAAGGAGAGCGCCGATGTGCGCACAGACGAGCAGAACCGGAAAGAGAGACTTCACGGCGCTTTCTCTCGCTGACAGCGAGCGTTACATCATTACACCTGATTGCCCACACTCATCAATACGACTGATACACATTAAACGATCGACAATCAATCAAACGTGTCTCAACGACAACAACATTAAGACACGATATGATCATTGGAGTACATTTGGTCTTTCTAAATTCACGTTTAATTCAGTGTGTTAATTACAGTTTCTTTATGTGTGAAATTTACTAACAAATTCTGAGTGAAAATTGTTTCTACAACACCACTTTTTTTCCGTTTACATCATAATCAAGCTACTTAATTATTCAAACAGAAAAATAAAAGAATTATTAAAACAACAAACACACACACACACACACACACTCACTCACTCACACACACACACAGACACACAGACACACACTCAAAAGAGCCAAGACTCAGTTTCAAAAGCAGGACGAGCGTTTGGAGAAGTGAGAGGAGAAGCTGGTGTGTGAGCGTGGGATCAGGTTTGGTGATGGTGACTCAGCTGCGTGAGTGTGTACGGAGTGTGTGTGAGTGTGTGTGTGTGTGTGTGTGTACGGTGTGTGTGAGTGTGTGTATGTGTGTATGTGTACGGTGTGTGTGTGTGTGTGTGTGTGTACGGTGTGTGTGTGTGTGTGTAGGAGAGCCCACTCACAGAAGGAAACTCCTGGACGTTTTGTGAGGGATCCCGCCCCGGCCCGAGAACAAGAGCCCTACACAGTAAACACTCACAGTCATCGCAATCAAATGAACAGAACGTTCTGCTGCGCAGCTGTGAACCTTTGTAGAGAACATAGATGCATATGAGCACAGCATTTCAATTCAGATATCAACCATGTTCAAATATGAATGTAAAATCAGCTGATGTTCAAGGAAACTCATGCAACCTTTAAACAGAAAATAAACACAAGCTTTCAAAGTTGGGTTACACTTTATTTTGATAGTCCACTTTAGACATTCTTCTAACTATAAGTAACTTTGCAACTACATGTCTACTAACTCTCAGAGTAGACTGTTAGGTTAGGTTTAGGGTTAGTCGAATACGTTGACATATACTTGCAAAGTTTCTCATAGTCAGTCAAGTCAAGTCACCTTTATTTATATAGTGCTTTTAACAATACAGATTGTGTCAAAGCAACTGAACAGCATTAATTAGGAAAATAGTGTCAATAATGCAAAAGGACAATAGTAAACACTCATTTTTCAGTTAAAGACAGTTCATCATTGAATTCAGTGATGTCATCATCCAGCTCAGTTCAGTTTAAATAGTATCTTTGCAATCATTTGCAATCAAATTGACGATATCGCTAGAAATGAAGTGTCCCCAACTAAGCAAGCCAGAGACGACAGCGGCAAGGAACCAAAACTCCATCGGTGACAGAATGGAGAAAAAAATCTTGGGAGAAACCAGGTTCAGTCGGGGGGCCAGACCAAACCAGCAGTTCAGTTCCAGGCTGCAGCAAAGTCAGATTGTGCAGAGGACTCATCTGGTTCCTGTGGTGTTGTCCCGGTGGTCGTCTGAGACAAGGTCTTCACTGGGGATCTGTCTCTGGGGCTCATCTAGTTGTCCTGGTCTCCGCTGACATTCAGGGCTGTTGAGGTCGTCTCTAGGTGCTGATCCACCATCTGGTCTGGATACGTACTGGATCCGGGTGACTGTAGTGACCATCTGATCTGGATACAGACTGGATCTGGTGCTACGGTGACCTCGGAATAAGAGAGAAAAGAGACTAATATTAGCGTAGATGCCATTCTTCTAGCGATGTAGCAAGTACATCGGGTGTTATGGGAATTGTTCCCGGTTCCGATTGTCCTAATTAATGCAGCCTAACAATCCTTTAATGGATTTGAATATTAGAAATGTTGTGTTAGTCTGTTATTGTTACGGGGCTGACAAGACGTGAGACGTGCGGATCCATGTGCAAGCTTTTATTTAAAGCAGAAGAGGTCAGAAACACAGGCACGGTCGAACAATGGCAAACAGGTATATGGCGGGCAAGTCACAAGAATAATCCTAGGGCTAGCGTAGGTCAACAATCTGCGAAAAGAATCAATTGGGCGAGACTAGAGGGATAAATCCAGGAAAACAGGCAAAGATCAGAAACAGAAAACAGACAGGGCAAGACTAGGCTAGGACTGGGAAACTAACGAGGGCTCTGTAAAGTAGCTATCACTGCTGACGATAAGCGCATACAATACTCTGCAGGTTGATAGGAGTCAGATTGAGTGATATATAGTGAATGTGTGATTGGATACAGCTGTGTGCAATCAGTGCTGTGTGCAATCAGTACAATGGATGATGGGATATGTAGTCCGGGATGATATGCAACAGTTTGTGTAGTGCGAGAGTCAATGTAATGGAAAGGGTGACCTCTGATGGCAAGCAGACGGAAGTTCATGGACCGGATTTGTTACAGTTATGTGTAAACCAGGTTAAAGAGATGGGTCTTTAATCTAGATTTAAACTGACAGAGTGTGTCTGCCTCCCAAACAATGTTAGGTAGGTTATTCCAGAGTTTGGGTGCTAAATAGGAAAAGGATCTGCCGCTCGCAGTTGATTTTGATATTCTAGGTATTATCAAATTGCCAGAGTTTTGAGAACGCAGCGGATGTGGAGGACTATAGTGCAATAAGAGCTCGTTCAAATACTGAGGTGCTAAACCATTCAGGGCTTTATAAGTAATTAGCAGGATTTTTAAATCAATACGATGTTTAATAGGGAGCCAGTGCAGTGTTGACAGAACCGGGCTAATATGGCCATACTTCCTGGTTCTAGTAAGAACTCTAGCTGCTGCATTTTGGACCAGCTGGAGTTTGTTTATTAAGCGTGCAGAACAAACACCCAATAAAGCATTACAATAATCTAACCTTGAGGTCACGAACGCATGGATTAACATTTCTGCATTTGACATTGAGAGAATAGGTCGTAATTTAGATATATTTTTTAGATGGAAACATTCAGTTTTACAAATGCTAGAAACGTGGCTTTCAAAGGAAAGATTGCTATCAAATAGCACATCTAGGTTCCTAACTGATGACGAAGAATGGACAGAGCAGCCATCAAGTGTTAGACAGTGTTCTAGGTTATTACATGCGGAGGTTTTAGGTCCGATAATTAACACCTCTGTTTTTTTCAGAATTTAGCAGTAAGAAATTCCTCGTCATCCAGTTTTTTGTATCGACTATGCATTCCGTTAGTTTTTCAAATTGGTACGTTTCGCCGGGCCGCGAAGAAATATAGAGCTGAGTATCATCAGCATAACAGTGAAAGCTAACACCATGTTTCCTGATGATATCTCCCAAGGGTAACATGTAAAGCGTGAAGAGTAATGGCCCTAGTACTGAGCCTTGAGGTACTCCATACTGCACTAGTGATCGATATGATACCTCTTCATTCACTGCTACGAACTGATGGCGGTCAGATAAGTATGATTTGAACCACTTCCACTAATGTCACCAAGGTTTTCTAGTCTATTCAAAAGAATGTTGTGGTCTCAGCACTACGATACGGTCTAAATCCTGACTGGAAATCCTCACAGGATTTTTCTCTAAGAAGGAATATAATTGTGAGGATACTACCTTTTCTAGTATCTTGGACAGAAAAGGGAGATTCGAGATCGGTCTGTAATTAACTAGTTCTTTGGGGTCAAGTTTATACAATTCTTCCTCTCCTATAGTAGAGAATGAGTGGAATTGTTCCTCAGGG